AGGGCGACGACCACAGGCGCTTGACGGCAGGCACGAGCTAAACACCAAAGCCTTCATCATCCAGGAGCTTCTCTTCTGGGTTTGGGAAAAATTGAGTAAGACTAAGTACAACCACCGTACTCAACAAGACACACCCACAAGTGCAATATAAATGCAAAGGAGTACAATGGAGTTATAGTATAGGGGTTAGGGTTTGCAGTAAACAGCATTTAAAAGACTCTTAGTTGCTCAAAGCTAAATTTAAAACACGATCCTAGAACTATTTAGTATTATTAAACAAGGCCGTGAACCCACACGAACCTGCCTTAACCCAAGGCCTACGATGATTCAGACCAAACTGGCAACCCGACCCTGGGTCCCAGCTCGTCCCAAGCCAACCCAGGCCAACCATTCCACATTTTAGTTGTTAAGCAGGTTTTAAGAATTAAAAACACTAACTTGGGTACATTGCTAGGCTTGCCCATAACTGAGGGCGCGGCTATTCGAATAGGTTTTACTCTGATCAGAGGTGTACATCTTTACCCACAAGACACGTCTTCCTCACGTGCAACCACGTGCCACATACCACCACGGCATATGGACGGAAGACATGACATAGTTCCCAACCCATCCTAGCCATTGACAAGAGTACCGACCCAACCCCACCTACGGCCGGAACCTCCGGGACAGGTAGGCAGGACTGAGCCCCTTGCAGCAGGACACCAGCCCTGTGCTATGAGATCTCGACTACCGGGCCGCAGCTCGTGTAGCCTTCATTTATCCTAGAGATGTCCATCGACCCCCGACTTCGTCCATCTCCATCCGTGTACTTTTGTTTATAACCAGACTGAGCCACAAACTAAGCCTTACCCACTAGACATGTGGAAGTACGGTAGTGCTTTGCAACAGAGGCCCGAAGACCGGTCCTTATGTGGCCGAGGTGCTACTATCGAAACCATGCACCCCGAGCCCAGCCTAAAACCATTTTGAGGGTTTTGAATAGAGGGGGAGGTGTGCATCCAATTCCACAATAATCCAACCATTCCAATATGTTCAAGTGATATGAATATTACCAAAGTCTAAAGTTATAAAAACCACCTAATGTTGTCCTATTAATCAGCGAAGCATCTACCTAAATTCTTACTAGGGGAACCATGAGTAGAGTGCCCACTAGCTAGGGTTTTGTTTATTCTAGGGTGAACAAGGTAATAATAACAATAACAATAATAAGGTCATAACAAAGGTAAATAGGCATGGCTAAATAAAACAGTGATAACGCGGGAATTTAAATAAAGCGATAATGCATTAATTTAAATCAAAATAATTTCACAAAGTGGGATCCAATATGTTCAAAGATGATGTGACTTGCCTTGCTCGCTTTCCCAAACGCCGGCTTCAACCTCCACGAAGAGCGGATCTTCCGAAGCTGCAGCATCTACACGACCAACGGAAAAGAAAAGGGCTTTTACTATAGTAAACTCCATATAACAAGCAGGAACAAAGCACAAAAATGGGTTCTTGACTTGTTAAGGAAAAATTAGAGACTTGAACGGTCCAATTCCGAGTTCAAATGGCCAAGTTATGGCCATTTGAAGTTTATATGCTCTTTTAATGAACATTTTCGAATTTCTTCATTTAAATTTTAATCAAAAAGAGATTTATTGCGTCAGCCGGGGGAGAGGGCGCGCGGACCGGGTCCATGGGAGTGGGACCCACGCGGCAGCCTCACGGTCCACGGTGGACCGGGTGCACCCGGCTCACACCGGCCGGCGCCGTGGGCCCCACGCGTCAGCCGCACCCGAGGGAGCGGGCGGCTGACGGCCGGGCCCCACGCGGCAGCCGCTAGGCGCGCCAGGAGGCCGGCGGGAGGCGGCGCGCCCGCGCCCCTATGATCGCCGGCGGCGGCCATAGGCACGGCGGAGCGGCGACCGAGAGAGGGGAGGGAAAGGGGGAAACGAAGCGGCAGTCCACGGCTCACCTCGGGTCGACGGCGACGACGGAAACGGCGACCGGAGCGGAGGATGGCGGCGGCACGGCTCGGGTGGACGGGGTCGACGGTGCTCCGGCGGTCGGCGACCGAAACGGAGAGGTGGACGAGGTCGGCGAGGATGCGCGAAGCCGAAGGAGCGCGCCGAGGTGGGAGGGGGTCCGGGCGACGACGGCGCGGACCGGTGCTCGCGCGACGGCGGAGAGAGAGAGCGACGCGCGAGCTCGAATCCGGCGAGGAGGAAGGGCGGCAAGAGGCGGAAACGGACTGGAGAAGCGCGGGGAGGGTTTAAATAGGGTTGGAAGGGGGAGAGGCGGCCGGCGGGGAAGGAATAGGCGCGGGAGGTCCGGCCGCCATCAATGGCGCCGGCGAGATTTGTGGGGGCAAATCCGCCCGTTTGAATGAGGGAGAGAGAAGGAAAAATGGGGGGAAAGGGGGAGGGGATCCCGGGGAATAATTCCCCCTACTTGCACACGGGGACGGCGGGATGCAGCGGAATCGGCGGCGGCGGCGGCGCTTGGCGCGGGTGGGGCGGCGGGAGCGGCGGGAGGAAGGGGATGACGGGTGGGCCCCACCCGTCAGCGAGGGTGGCGGGCGGGCCCGCCCGTCAGCGGCGCGCTCGCGGGGAGGAGGCCGAGTGGGCCGCGGAGAGAGGAGAGAGAGGGGGAGGGAGATGGGCCGAGGCGGCCCAAGAGGGGGAGGGAGGGTTTTTAGGGTTTTTCTTTTTATAAAATCATTTCAACTTTGTTTATTTCTTATTAATTATTATTTGTGCTCTGAAAATTCCACTAAAATTTATTTACACATTTTAGGCTTTTAGGAAATATACAAAAAACCTCCAAGCCTTAATTGACTTTTAACTTTGCACATTTTAATTTTTGAAGGCTTTCACAAGGATTTTAATTATTCTAGGCATAATTTAAAGGGTATATTTTAGGGTCGTTTTGGGACGCGACAGAAGGTCAATAGGTTAGTTTAATTTTTGAAATCGAGTTTTAGGAAAAACCGTACTATTAAGAGGAGTTTCAAGTGTGGTTTTGAGATATAAAAAGTGCTCTTAGTGGGTTCCTAGTGATAAAAAATTTTCTGGAGACATTTTTCAAATAGGTCCAGTCCGGATAGAGAAGGCTGGCCGGAAGTTCCGGGTCCAGGGACTAGGTGTGAAAAAATGCGAGTAACGGCTAGATGACGTCACCTAGCCGTTATATATATCTAGATCGCACCCAGCTTACTTTTTGGCCATTTTCACTTCAGTTCTTTCACACCCTAGGTTGTTTTAGCCTCTCCCAAGATCCCTTTGCTTCCTCCACTCAAATCTAGAGCCTTTCTTGTGAGATTGTCAGAATAGATGAGAGTGTAGGAGTGATTTGGAGATGCTTTGAAGACTAGGTGTGGTTGAGCACTTTGGATATCTTGTGGGCTGTCACTTGGGGCTTATTACTCTTGGAGATCATCTCCTAGACGGTTAGGTGTCGCCTGCGAGCTTCCAAAGATCTTGTGGATATCCCGGGAAAGTTTGTGAAGGTTTTCCTCACCTCCGCAAGGAAACAAGGTAAATGAGTAAAGATTCTTTTGCTGAGATTTCAGAGGTTCTCCTCGGTAGAGCAACTTGCACTTGTGGTCTTTTCTAGAAGGATTTGTGAGTTGGATCTTGGTGGTCACTCAAATTCTAGAAAATGACCTAGGAGTGTTGAGTTGAAGGCCAAGGACTTCTTCTGGATTCTTCGCACAGGTGAGGCAAGGGGTTAATCGAGAGCCGGCTATTGGGAGCACCTCAACGGAGAGTAGGATCGAAAGATCCGAACTTCGGGAAAAAATCGCCCTTGTCTTCTCTGTGATGATTCTGTGCATGCTGCTGTGATTGTGTATCTGCTCTGTCTTCCTGTAGTTTATTTCGTGCAATTTAGTTTAAGTGTCTGCTAATTTACAGGTTTTTCTGTTGCTCGGAAGTTCCGGTGTTTAGAACACCAGAAGTTCCGGACAGTCTGAGCAGACTGGAACGTCCGGTGTTCCACAACCGGAAGTTCCGGTCCTGCTGAATTTTACCGCTGCAATTTGTTTGTGAATTTCAGGAAAGCGTATTCAACCCCCCTCCTCTAGGCTACATCTTTGCGTGTTCACCTGAAAGTTTTGGAGAATAGGATGTTAAGGGCACTGCCGCCATCGATGAGCACCCTCTTGAGCCGCACTCCTTCCACGGATCGGGTCGAGGATGAGTGGGTAGCGCCCCGGGTGAGGCACATGGTCGGGGTGATCGGACCGATCAAAAGTGATGGGGGTCTCGGTCCACCTTAAGTATTGCGGCGTGTCGGAGACAGTGATGGGGGTCTCGGTCCACCTTAAGTATTGCTTGCGGCGGGATTCATATGCGTCAGGGCCGCCATAGATGTGGTTGTGCTCGGCATGGGGACTCGGGAAGGTGGGCGAATTGGCCTTGCCATCGTCTTGAGGGTTGTCGCGTGGCTTTCCCCCCGAGTTACCCTTGTCGGCGAGCTGCTAGGGGTATTGCGTGACTAGCCAGCAGGTTTTGGCAGCGTGCTTGAGCTCAGGGTGTTACGGGCATGGGCCGTCCATCATCTTGTCGAAGTCGTCCTTCTTTGGTTGGCAGAATTTGCGCTGGCTGCCACTACACTCGACGGCATTGACCTCCTCCTCACTCTTGCACTTGAACGGCCTATTGCGGGAGGAGTCGTTGTCACGGTGAGGCTGGTACGGCGGCCTCTTCTTGATTTGTGAGTAGACCACGAGCTCGGAGTTGGCATCTTTGTTGGTGCAGTCGAACATTTGGCGAACGGTGAGGGCGGCGCTTCCGCCAAGTGAAGTCTTGCAGGCCCACCACTTGATGAAGTCTTCGTTCTTGCAGCCTTGATGAAAGGCAGTCATCACTTCCTTGTCAGCAACGTGGGGAATGGTATTGCGCCACTCCGTGAAGCGGCGGATGTAGTCGAAGAAGCTCTCGCCGTCACCCTAGATGATCTGGTATAGATCCTACTGAGTACCCGGGTGAGGAAAGGTACCCTGGAAGTTGGCGATGAACTAGGCCTTCAATTCGGACCAGCTGTTAATGGTGTACTTCAGGAGTCCTATCAGCCATGCTCGGGTTGCTATAGTCAACATGACCGGCAAATAGTTTGCCATGACCAGCTAGTCGCAACCGGCAGCTTGGATGGTGGTGGAGTAGACGGTGAGCCATGCGCTGGGGTCCGTCTTGTTGTCATATTTGTCAATCCCCATGGGCTTGAAGTTGGCCGGCCATCTGACTCGGCGTAGGTTGTTTGTGATGGCCGGGATGCCCTCAGCACCGTCATCGCGATGCAAGAGGGGATCCGGCGAGTGGTCGCGGTAATCATGGTATGGTCGGTGGACAACGATGCAGCTGTCGGCTTGGATGTCGGCATGGCGGCAGCCGGTGTCGAGGTCATCCTCGTTTATCCGTAGCTGCTCGGCGTCACGGAGCTGGCAACACTCATTCATGACGTTGCGGAGATCGGCGTCTAGCTTCGATCTTGTCGCGCAAATCACTTGTGCGCAGACTTGGGCGCGAGCTTCCTGCTTGGGACGCCTCGATGTGCTTTGACCCGGCATGTTGCTGTTGGGATGGTCTGTTGCTGGAAGAACCGCCAACGATGGAGGCAGTCGGCGCTACCTCAGCGTGCTGGAAGGTGGCCGCCTCCACCATGGCTCTCACCTGAGCGATAGTGGTGTTGATGGCCGGGTCGTTTGGGACCTGGATGTTGTCGAGGAGGGCCTTGGCGGTGATCTTGTTGTTCTGAGGCATGGTGAATACATCACGCTCTCCCAGCTTGGTCTGGAGGATAGCGTCTTGGGCGGCGCAACCACGTTGTCGCAGCTCGTTCAAGCGCCGGTTGAGGTTGGATGCGGCGCTCCTCCTCTCCTCATCCGTCTCCTGAAAGGCGATGAAGATCTCTTGGGGCCGACGGCTTGAGGTCGGCGTGTTGTTGGAGCTCTCCGAGATCGAGTCGGATCTCTGAGTCACAAGGAACTCGACCCAGCGGGATCTGAGTTCCCGGGGCAGCCGGGGGCGGTTGCGTTTGGAGCGGCCATGGTGTCCCGGATGTCGCGGGGGTGGTGAGGTGTCACGCCCAGAAATTCACGAACCAGAATTTCTAAGCTGAATGTGTATTAAACCCCTGTCCAGGACCAGCCAGGGTACACAAACGACAATTATTGACATACAGATCCATGTCTTACAAAAATATAAAAGATTACAAATGCAGCGGAAAAGGTAAAGCGAGCTGAGCCTGAAGACTTGACTCCTGCAGCGGGCGATTCCATTCCACAGGCAACCCTTGACGGCAGCGACGAAACCAACCTCTTCAAGACATCTCCAACTGAGAAGAACTTCAACTCTGGTGAGGGGGAAAAGAGAGCAAGACTGAGTACTACCCACTATACTCAGCAAGTCATACCGGAAGAGGGGGTATGATGCAGGGTATATCCAAGGGAGGCTAAAGGTTCTTTTGCATAAAGCCGGCATTTCAAAGCAGTAGTTGAAAGCAGTAAAACAGTAGTAGTAATTAATCCATATTAACCAATCACTGTCCAACGTTACACCACGTTGCAACAGGCCCAAACCACCACCTGAACTAACCAGTTCCAAAAGCTAACTAGGGTGAAACTACTCACGGTGAATCTGGTCGACCGCCCCTAACCGCGGGCACGGCTATTCGAATAGTTTTACTCTGATCAGAGGTGTACAACTGTACCCACAAGACACAGCCCCACGACACGTTCCCGTGCGCCGACATGCCACCACGACATACCGGAAAGAGGCCGTGACAGGACCGTTCGCATAACCCTCTCTAACCGATCGCACCACACCTTAGGGTTCGCCCCCGTCCCCAGCAGGCAACGGGCAGCCCCCCCTTTCGTGCCACGGTGAATCCGGAAGCCGATCAACCGGACACCCCGGACGACCCAACTCCATCACGCCCACCCTCGCCTGGGTACGTCGGCTAGAGAAAAGCTACACTACAAGCCCAGCCGTTGCCCACGCTGGCTTGTGGTAAGTACGATAAGTTCTTCCAGGGCATCCCGCGAACCGGTCCTTAATCGCCATGGGCACGTCTAGCAAAACCATGCACCCACAGCCCACCATGTAGTGTATTTTAATTAACCAACACCATTGCGGTGGCACTAATCCAAAGCTATTGCTAATAATCAAAGTCTATGCTTTAATGTGACCCCCTTCTGTGCACTAGTTGAACTAAGCATGGCTAAGCATCTCCTAAACCAACATCTAGTCATTTTAATACCCAAGTTATCAATGGCGTAAGGGAAACAACATATAGCTGAGTAATAGGACCCATCCCACATGATATTGTAAAACAATGCAATATTTAATAAAAATGCGGGATATTTGTAAATTGGGTACAATATGATCAATTGTATTGCATGACTTGCCTTGCTCTCGCACTGATGAGACCACAGCAACGTCTTCGAGAATCCGCGAATCGATGAAACGGCCGAAATCTACGCGACAAACAAAGCACACAAGCAAAACATGCTATAAGACTACTGAAACAGAGAGCAAAGCCATTTTTAATGGATTCTATACATTTTTATGAATTTACTGAGACTTGAATGGACTTAATCGGAGCTCGGATGAATTAGTTATGATTTTTAGAAGATTCTCTGTGTTTTTACTATTAAAGAAAAGCCTTAATCAATTTATTGCGCAATATTGCCCCAGGGCTGACGTCAGCAAGGGGTGGGGCGGCGCCGACATGCGGGCCCCACTGGTCAGCGGCACTAAGAGAGGGAGAGGGGGCGGCTGGCAGGCGGGCCCACTGGGCAGTGTCACAAAAAAGGGGGGGGGGAAGACGGCCTGGCTCGGCTCGGCTTCAAGCCGGCCGGCCGGGTTATGGCGAGGGCGGCGGCGCGCGCACGGAGGCAGCGGCGTAGCAAAGAGGGAGAGAGGAAGGGGCCCCGGTGCTCACCAAGGAGTCCGGCCGACGCGGAGGGAGGCGACGGCTAACGGCGACGAGGAGCCGACCGGCGAACCCTGATGGACGACGGACGGGAAGCGGGAGGACCTAGAGAGAAGGTTGGGAGGGGTTAGAAGAGAGGGAGGTGGTTCCATGGCGCACGACATAGCCGATCGAAGGCGCGCATGTGAGCTCACGAGTGCGAGAGATGCGAGCTCCGGCAATGGAATTGACGGAGAACAGCGACGATGTTGACCTCTGGATGCTGACGCCGCTGCGCCGATTGCGGGGTGCTGCGGCGACCCTAGCAGCTGCTAGAGCCGCCCGAGCGTTGAGATTGCCGCCGGCGGGTGGGTGCACAGTGCTAGGGCGATAGGGAGCTCGGGAGCGGACGGCGAAAGAGGGAAAAAGGTGGACAGAGGCGCGGTGGTCGGTTATATAGAGGTGGGGAGGCCGGACGTGGCCCGGAGCGGTGGTTTCGCGGCGACGACGTGGAGAGGTGGAGGAGGAGAGAGAGGGGGAGAGGATTCAAATCGAATCCCGTCCGTGCGGGCGCGCGCGCGGACGGGAGAGGGCAGGGCGTGGGGCGGCGACGTGGGGACGTGTGGGCGCGGAGTGGGGCGCGGATGCGGAGGAAGCGGCGGCGTGGGCGGCGGTTTCAGCGGCGGATGGTGGCAGCTGCCGGAGGTTAGGGACGACCGACAGGTGGGCCCCACCTGTCGGCGCTCGGGAGGAGAGGGGAGGTGGGATGGACTTCGGGGAGGGGAGGTGAAGCGGGCCGGCACGGGAGGGAATGGGCCGGGCCCAAGAGAAGGAAAAAGGAGGGAAAAGAAAAGAAGAAAGGATTTTCCAGGGATTTATATATTGCACATGCTCATTTTTAATTGGTTAAAATTATTTCCAATGCTCTGAAAATTCCACTAAAAATCCTGTTAGCATATTTTGACATGTAGAATCCACAGAAAAATTCCACATGCCGATTCCGATGATTATTTGCATTTATTAACTAGGGATTCATCTCTAGGTTAAATTAAACAATTTCTTCGGGCGATTTATTTTATGAATTTAGAGCAAGGGAGGGGAACTTCAGGGCGTGACATGAGGCGATCGGACAGTCATCGACGGGGTTGCCGGCCTGAAGTGCCCTTGCGGCGGTGGCGGCGAAGTTGCTGACTCCGAACAGCATCCGCGGTGGGGTTGTCGGCGGCAGGAAATCTGGCAAAGTTGGCCTGAGAACGCCGGCGCTGGTAGCGGTGAAGTCGAGGCTGCCGAAGGAGAACTTGGTTCCTGCAAGGAAGCGATGGGCCATGACTGGCCCGGCGTCATGGCCAGACGACACCGGGACTTACCTGACCGAGCTTGTCGGAGTTGTCGGCAGCGAAGTCGAATGCGCCGAAGGAAAATTGGGTTGCGGTGGGGAAAGTGGTGGTATTCGCGATCTCAACGCCGATGAATGCCATCTCCACGTTGAAAATGATCAAGCACCCCCTACCTGGCATTCCAACTGTCGATTTCTTGGATCGGCAATATATTTTATGGGGTGTGCTAGATCAAGGAAAGATGGTGACACAGATGATTATCCTGGTTCAGGCCCTCGGGATGAGGTAATACCCTACGTCCAGTGTGGAGGATTATCTCAGTGTCCAGTGGAAAAATGGTCAAAAAAGTCTTCTTTAGGATTGCCGCCGGCACCCTTTATATAGACCTAAGGCAGCCGACGCCAATCATGGCCCAGTATCACTTATAATCCGGGTACTTGCCAATTGTTACAAGACAAGGGATATGTTGCCTTATCCCTTACTGCCTACCATACATACAACGCATGCCGTACAGAGGAATGGGCTCGCGGCCCACCCTAGACGATGTGGTCCCAACCAAACCGTGAGGTACCCAGGTACCACATACCCCACATTTTCCATTTTTCATTTGTTTTTTTCACCAACACTGGGTTTGTCAACCATTCTGGATGCATGACTTCTCTTATAACTTTTTCTTTTACCAGCTTCTCAAGTTCAACTTTCGTGGCCTACTGCCTATCTGATGACATTTTTCTCAGTTTTTGCTTTTTCGGTTTGTACTCTAGTTTGATTTCTAAATTGTGTTCAATCGAGCTTCTATCTACTCCTTGTAACTCCTCTGGTGACTAGGCAAATACATCCATATTGTCCTTTACAACCTTC